ATTTTTTATGCCAATAATCTTTTTTATTTATTTAATTTGAATAATTTAAGTTCGAAACTTTTATAATATCAATGATAATTATTATTCTATTATATAATATTATTATAAAAACAATTTTCTCGTTGAATCAAGCTTCAAACCATTTTAATTTTTATTCGAAATGATAAGAAATTAACAATTAATATTTTATTACAAACAATTGAAATGTAAAACTTGAATTATCAAAGTAGTGAGTGATGGGTATTATTGACGGCTATTCCATGATGATCATTTCTCAACAGTTTAAGACCATTAATGACTTCATTAACATTGAATTTGTATGCAAGAAGTATGCCAATAATATGGCAAAATTTCATTATAACCCCATATCTCTCACACCAAAAACAAGACGTTTTTTTCCAAATTTGAACACACTTCGTTTGTATACAAAAAACGATTTATTATTTACAGACTTAAACATTACATCGCATCACGTTGAGTATAAAACCAAATTGAAATCTTCTGATTTTGAAGAAAAAACGCTTTCTGATATTTTAGATAGAGCATTTCCTACAACATATCACAGAATATGTTACAGTGGATATAATCATCGTGATGATATTGTGACTATCCCCGATGGTGTTCAAAGTCTTTCAAAGTGGTGTTTGGAAATGTACAGTGCACAGACAATTCACATTCCAGAGAGTGTAGTGGAGATTGGAAGGTCGACGTTTGAGTGTTGTAACATGGTAGAGCATTTGTACCTCCCTTCACACCTTACGAAACTAAGTGCGGCGTTCACATATGTCTACAATTTGAGAGATCTTGTGATACCATCACTTGTGACATATCTTCACGATGGACTTTTTGTAAACTGCACGGAACTTACTAAAGTCGATTTTTCAAGTGATATCACCACACTTCCTGAATACCTTTTTTATTCATCAGGAAAAGGAAAATATGAAGTGCCTAATACCATTACAAAGATGGATGATTATGCTTTTGCTGAGAGCAATTGGAAGACTGTTATTGTACATGAAAACGTGACTGATTTCGGCAAAGGGATATTCAAAAATGCCCGTGTCGAACTTGTTGAACTTCCAAACAGTTTGTCTGAATTTGGAGATGAAATGTTCTGTGAATGCACTTTTTTGACAAAAATCAATTTACCACCACACCTGACAAGAATTGGTGCAAAATGTTTTGTTGAATGCAGTGATTTAAAAGAGATAAAATTGCCAACCACAATCCAAATATTAGACGACAGCTGTTTTGGAGATGTTGAAGTCAATAACAAATTTTCGGAATTAAAAAATCTAAAAGAAGTGGGTGGAGATGTGTTATATAAATTCCATCCCACATCTTTTGTTATTCCTGATAATTACAAAGTGGCAAATTGGTTGTTTGATAATTGCAAAGAGCTTACAGCAGTTACTTTTAATCAAACAATTTGTGAGTTGAACAACACGTTTTGTTGTTGCGAAAGACTCAAAAAAATTGTGATACCTGTAACTATCACCAAAATCGGTGATTCGTGTTTCTTAAATTGTTCTTCTCTCACGCAAATTGATCTTTCAAACACTATTTGTGAACTTGGAGATTTAGCATTTGAAAATTGCGTGTCATTAAGTACTTTGTCACTTCCAAAAAACGTCACGAAACTTGGAAAGAAGTGCTTTAAAAATTGTGGAGTACTTTCACATATTGATACAAAGTATATCAAACAAATCGGCAAGTCGTGTTTTAAAAATTGTAAACAACTTGGCACAATTAATGTAGAATTAACAACAGAATTTGAAATGTCATGCTTTTCACATTGCAATTTGAACGAAATTGTTTTTCCGAATGATGTGATAAAAGA